CGCTCGTAATAATCTCGTAGTTAACTCGGTGCTCTGCTCGGCATAATTCGTACATAACTCGTAACCAACTCCATAAAGTCGTACCTCACTCATAGCTATCACGTAATAAGCTCGTATAGGTCCTTTCCAAAGATCACAAGTTTTAACTCGTAGAAATCGTACGACTCTTAGGTGAAATAAACCTAGGTGGGAGAGGGGCTTTAGTTTAGCAAACCTAAACAACAATCAAACCTAACAAGCAAAATACAGCAAGACCAAATAAATAATAAATGAATGAATGAATTCCTCTCTTTGAACTCTCAAAAAGGATCACAACTTACAAGTAAGATGATAACTAAGTGTCTATGGTCCCTATGGGGGCAGCAAACACAAAAAGCAATCCCGGTTTTATTTCATTAATTATTTCACTCATCCATACACAGGACAATGTGCTCAGGATGTTTATATTTTAAAAGAAATTATAAATTACAGTATATGTACGTAGGATTGCCTCTTCAGTTTTTTACCCTACAGCAACAGACTCTGGAGGAAAACCATTTTTGATATGTTGTAGAACTGATTTTTCTAAGACACAAAAAAGTTGTTTGACGAAAAACTTTTGAACGGCTAATGAGATACAGATTTTTGAATATTTAAAAACTGGGGAAAAATGGTGGTTACGCCCATAAACAGTTTGTTATGCTACCCAAGCAGTCAATAACACTGAGTATATCCACAGATAAGCCACAGTAATATATATTTATTTATGTTGCTTTCAAACAATAAAGCTTTCTTGTATCTTAATTACTTACCTGGTCTTGGATTACGAGCATTGCAGGCCATGTCATCTGCAAGCATCAGAATGATGTGACTGTCCGGTATTCCTAAACGTTTCACACTACGATACAATGAGAGTGCATTGGCTACATGGCGGTAGTTGAACCAGAACCGGGATGTGCATACCTACACACACACACAAAAAAAAAAAAACACAACTGGTAAGTCAGACAACATTAAGAGGTTAGGATGATTATATTTTTAGCTTGTTTGACTGCGGCATTATTGTGGGTTCATCATATAAACACATCGACCTAAAACTTCCAAAGAATATAAGACAGTACTTTGCTATCATTACAATACAAGTTAAAATTAGAAGTGTTCCTTTATAACATAATACATACTCCAAGTATTGAAATGCACGCCATCGTGTTGGGATTTGATGGCATTTTGATTCTTGGAGTATGTATTATACTATCTTATCTGAAATTAACCAAGTGGATCTTTCCGTTACTTTATAAACAAAGCAGAGATTGGGTTAAAGATTTGAAACCTGTGAAAAGTATTGAAGCCCGGAGTCCCATGAATGTTTGTTCTTACACTCCCCAAGCTTTCTAAAATATATGCAGGCGGTGATCTAGCCCTATGTTGTAGTGAATGATAAGTAATTTTACATGTTTTGAAAGTATAATACATATTCGAAGTATTGAAATGTACGCCATCGTGAATACTTGGAGTATTATACTTTCTTATCTGAGATTAATCAGTGGACCTTTCGGTTTTTTACATGTTTAGCCATTGTAAATATAATACAACAATTATAACATTTAGTCTCTTTTATGTGTCTATTTTTCTGACTTGGAACAGCCCCATGGGTGCATTTTGCAGATATGGTGCAATAGAATACTACAGTGTTACGTCACGATACCATGTGATACTACTCCGTTGCTATCGGCGACACAAAATTTGTTCAACTGACGCCTTTTTCTTCACTGACAAACCATTGATCCCAATTTTTAACGTAAATATTAAGAAGTTGTATCTTAATTTTTCTTTGTAAATGTTAATTGATGATTAAATGTATGTTCGATAACTAATACAATGCAAGCTTTTTGTGTTTTTAGTACATTTTGATGGTAAATTATTAGGTTATGAAATGCCTATTCCAGAAAGCCTATTCTAGACCATTAAGATTATGACGCGCTTCAGGCGTAATGAACGGTTACCAACGTCCAGAGGGCGCCACGACAACTGTGGTACTCTGTACAAAATTGACATTTAAAATCTGTACTTTATCTGCACAAATAATACATTTAATGAATGTTTTAAACATTACTTACTAAAACTGCCCAATTATTTGTGTGACCACTCTTGAAAAAATTCTCTACTTCATCCTGAAACAGTAAGACATGAACACTCATTTTTACAAAAGAAACACCTATAATAATACAGTAGGGCAATATAATAGGCCTACAGTAATAATAGTACTGATATTGATGATCATATTGACATTTTTTAGAGATTGAAGCAGTAAATAGGTAAATACAATTACACAACAAATGTGAAGATAAAGTGATGAGGTCATTTTTAACTACTTGTGCAGAATTTTTTTTGCTTCAAACATTTTCAGTGGGGAGCATGAGAATTTTCTGCAAAATCTGTGCGGAAATTGGTCCTTAATTTCCAAAATGGGCTGACGAATTTCTCGGCCAGATTTCTGCGTGGAAGATGTATATCCCCCGCGCAGGTCTTACTTTACAATCTGGTGTGTAGTACTACTGCCATAGTTTAGTAACAATTCTGCATACCTATTTTTCTAAAAAAATTTTTAGGCCAAATACAGTATGGTGGTACTTCTACTACTACTACATTAGAACCTCATTTTTATGTACCCCAGTTATACGAACCCTCGGTTTTACGTACGCCTCGTATCGATGATGACGTCATCAAAAACCCCGAAAACATTCAAAACAAACGGCCCTTTTCAGAGCAACCATAAGTAAAAAGACTATAACAATAAACTATAACAATAAACAAACCATAAAATGCAACGTATTTTCATTAAACAGCAACATTGATTGAGTCTAATACCGGGTTGTTAATATCTAAAACCATGTGAACTGAGTAAGATGAACAACTACCGATAGTGCTCAAAATAATAATCCTCCCTAGCTTCGTGTGGCAAACCATGGAAAAACTTGTCTGGTCTAATTTTCTACACGAAGCTGAGTAGGCATAGTTTTGTACACGAACGCTAATTGGTTGGTATGAAGGGGAATTCCCAAGTTATACCTTTGTCGAATAGGTAATCTTACAATATATTCATGTTCTTTAGTTAAATAAAAGACATAAAGTGATGAATTAATACACTAGACACATGGTTTTATTTGAACACTTTATTATGACATCTAATTTGCAAATTTCTAGCGCATAGAGACCTATGTATTTTGCGCTTTACAAATCCAAATTATTATTATTATTATTAAAGTGATGAAT